TCCTCCTCCCCCACCACCACCTCCCTCCCTTCCTTGTTCGTTCCTCTGGCCATGAATACCGGGCTCAAATTACCAGCAGGCTCAACAAAGTCTTTTCACTTCCACTAGAACAGAGGCCATTTTGGAGACAAGTCCAAGGGGGAGGGACATACACACAAAATGAACAGCAAAGGAGCACCCTCTCTCTTCTCTCTCTTCTCTCTCTCTTATCTCACACATAACTCTCTCTCCCCTCTTTCCTTTAACTATAATTCTGACAATGTTAAGCACTGGCAGGCATGCATGAATTGTACCGTCCTAAAATAAGCCATTTGATTATCCTTTAATATCTTATCTCTAGGGTATTATAGTGAGTACATTTCATACAGCAAGGGAGAAACAAATCAAGAACATATGCACAGTGGTTCAAAGGAAGGAACACAACATGCCACACCTCGTCTGAACAGAGCTCAGCACAGAAAGTTTTCTAAGCATCAAATAACATTCTGAAAGAGCAAAAATAGACATGTCATGCACATGAAGATACAGAGCTTATAGAAATGTTTACCTACCTCATGGACTCAATATTACACTGATTAACAACATTTAATCACAGTGGATTTACTTATGTCAGCATAAATACACATCTGTACATATTAATGTGATTTAGCAGCAACTTAAACACAAAATAACTGTTGCCAGGGTGCTTCACCTCTAGCAGCTTAGACACAGAGTGCATAAAGAAGCTGCTGTTGAAAAACACTCACATGACACCTGGCCTGTTCAAAATCACTCCCTACCTACTGCAGTATTTACTTTCCAAATTGCTATGTCCAATACAGGTGTACAAATTACTCACAATACGGTGCCCTAAAAAATATCCCACAATACAACAATAAGTGCAGTGCACATAACATGAACACTGCTTTTAGTATACATTCCACAATGCAATGGTTTGCCTCTGCTCCTGAGATGTGAAAATGACAGTTATGTGACAGTCTGTGATGGAACTAAACAATGATAATGATTCATAAGTGTGCAAAAATTCTATTTTACTATGCTCCTCAGACTACCATACAGATCCATTAATAACAGCTAGGGCTGAAAGGATTCCTTCAAAAACAGTTGCAAGTAGATTTTTTTCTAAATCACTGCTTTGTTTAATTCATATAACCATATGGAACGAGTGATTATTACTGTCGAACAATGTGCTCTGAAAAGAGAAAATAGAGAGGGGCCAAGACAAGAGATGCAGAGAAAACAACAAAAGGTGTCCAAGGTTTGAGATCATTTCAAAGTGAAACAAAATGAACTCTGTACAGTGTGTCTGTTGTCAAACCAACGAGCTGGCCACAATAGCATGATGTCAATGATGTCAATGAAAAACCAGCTAGATAGCAGCTACAAGGCAATCAGTGTGTGAATGTAATCAGGGCGTTCCTGCAAAAGAGAGGCTTCCTCTAAGTGAACACTCCCTGAATAAAGTTTTAAAAAAGTCATTACTTTTGCCTGAAAAACAATCACAACATTATTAATCATCTGATCATGTGCAGCTTCCAGCTCCAAAATGTATTTGGGAGAACCCCAGTTTTTAACCTCTCGTAGCTGCTAACTAGTTAGCTTCAACGCTGCTGTAAGAGTACAATACAACACTGTAGTAAGGTTACATGAACAGAGCAACACAACACAGCCTTTCAGTACCTATTATACTGCAATCTGACCTAATCTACACACTGTGACTAAAGTAACTAAACTAACCCTTACACATGGGGAAATTATATTGATTTAGAAGATTAGGCTGTGGGCGTGAACAAGAGCAGAGGGGTTTTTGATAGCCAATATGGCCATTTATACTCCAGAATAGTGTCTCTAAGTCTCCTATTCTAACCTGCTAGACCAGCATAGGAGCCAGGCCAGAATAAGCCCCAGAACCAGGACCCAACTCAGCCGACACCAAAGGCCAGGTGATTGACAGCAGCCCTGACCAGGACTATGACTCTGGGGACAACAAAGACACTGCAGGTTCAGGGACAGGTAGGCATAAAACAGGGGAGGAGCAAGTCTGTAGCGAGTTGAGTAAGTAATCACAGTTACTATCATCATCCATCATACTGATAAGTCAGTGTTTGTTTCAGTGAAGTTGGAAGTTATTTATTCCGTGTTTTGAACAATGAGACTTGTGTGATGTTACACTGTGTTGAAATAAAAGAACTAAATGTTCAGTCTCCTTGCTGGTTGCTCTGATATTCAGAATTACTACCATTTTCAGAGACAACACCCCCAAACGTAAGTCCAATATCTACAGAGGAATGACTTCAAAACAAACAAACGTTAACGTCCTACTGCACATGTATGCAAACTCCTTATGCTCGCTCAAGCAATTCAGCTGAACCTCCACACACTCCTATGAAGCTTAAAGAACACATGAAATGGGAGCATGTTCACGAGTAAGCCCAGAGCGCAGATCAGTCCCCCAGGGGAACCGTTACAGTAAGGTGAAGGACTTGATGAAGGAAAAAAAAAAAAAAAGGCCAGGACACACCAACCGGATGGCCGACCGTCGGCAGAAAAGTAGTCGGACTGATCAGTCGGTTAAAAAAAAGCCTCCGAACACACCAAACCGACGCCAACTGGAGCGTACGTTCTGCGCGTGCGCGAGGCGTAATACGTCCCCATAACAGCAGGCGGCGCTAATCTGTGTTGTCGCCCCAAAAAAAATGAAAACCGGAAATGACGGATCACTCTAGACCTAGTAAACACAGAGC